CAGATCCGGCGCCGATCTAGCCGTAGGCGAGCGGGTGTTTCCCCACGCCAGGGTATCTCCATCAGCGGGGTACACGCCCCAGCCGGGAACTAGCTCTAAGCTTCCACCGACCCGGTCCCCGGCATGTGTTGTTGTAGTACTTGTAGCGAAATTTTGCGTGGTCACGGAAGAAGCGGGCCTGATGAACCCGAGCCTCGCCACGAAAAATGCCCAAATTCAAATCATCATTCAATTCAATTGAGGGGGTGTTACCTTCGGGGTCCGTTCTCGTCGATTGAGCGCGCTGGAGCTCGCTGTCGTCGAACAGCTGGCCATGGTGTTTAGGATGGTGGAGATCTCTGAGCCGTCTCAATGAAGCCCGACTGCTCGTGTCGACATCTGGAAGGCCTTGCGCATGACTGCAGACAGGCGACACACAAGCCCTCACCTTTTGAAGCCCCGCGCCCGAGCGCATGCGCAGGTTGAACATAACCCCCTTCCAGCATGCACAGGCGGTATTGCAGTCGACGGTGTGATAGATAAATGCTTTGACGCATAATTAAAATGACTGGTTTTTTTAGATTATTTAGTTTTTACTTGATGATAGGAATTAGTTACTACTCGTAAGGTAGTTTAACATTAAATAAATGTTTTTATAGCATTCAATATCAAGCACATAAAATATGGAGAGAAATATTATACAGTAGCTTAACACACTCCCCCGCACAGACAGACCCTACCTCTCTTCTCTCTCCTCCTCTCTCTCTCTCTCTCTCTCTCTCTCTCTCTCTCTCTTCGTCTCTCTCCTCTGTCTCTCTCTTCGCTCTCTCTATACTCCTTTTCTCTCTTTCTCTTCTTCTATTCATCTCTTCTCCGTCTCTCTCCTCATCTCTCTCTCTACTTCTCTCTTTCTCTCTTTCTCTCTCTCTTTCTTTCTCTCTCCTCTCCTCTCTCTCTCTCTCTCTCTCTCTCTCTGCTCTCTCTGTGTGTATATATATCACTCTCTCTTTTCCTTTTTCTCACACACACACACACAAATATTCAAACAAAATGTTATTATCAATTCATTATCATTTGGTTAGAGTTTAGTGGCACGCAAATATTACGAGGTCAACCTAATTTTTTCTTGAATAATTGATGTATATTTGTTTAAAACTCTAAAACTAATACCTAAATTTCAAAGGTAATAATTATAATTTTCCAGGTAATAATGATGAAGTCTAAAATATGTTTTCAAATTTTGAATAATTCTTTCTCACTTTCATATGGAACATACAAGTATATCTGCTCCACAATCAAAATAGACATTCAAAAGTGAAAAAGTTATCATATAAGAAATTTAATTTCATTGGTCGATTGTTGGAAAATATATAGATGCTGAAAACATAAACACAATAAAAAAGAAATAGTTTCTGTACTCATTAAAATTGTGCTTTATAAATATTTTAGTATAAAAAAATACTTTGCGGGATAATCATAAATTTAGAATGTTTTCATGAAAGAAGTCCCCTTTGATTAGAATATTATTTAACCACACAGATTAAGGTCTTATCTTTATGTAATGGGAATCATATAAGACCTGTAGCACACGAGCGTTGCGTTGACGCGCGTCCACTAACAGCCATGACGTCAGCTGAGGCGACGCGCGTCGATGCCTGCTCACACAAGTCACTTAACGCGCATCTTAAATCATATCACTCATCCCAATCAGCCCACTCTATCTTCTACAAAATGGCATACGAGCGCTCTTGTTGGCACGTTGGCAAGAACGCGCGTCGTCTAGCGGGAATCTCGCGTTAAAAGCTTGAAAACACGCGTTATAGTGACTTACGTTGTAGCTTGATCTTCTTGCGTGAGCTATGGGCACAACGCATGTCGCCAATAGCGCTCGTATGCCATTTTGCATAAGATATAGTGTTAATCTACGACGCGCGTTTAGTGAATGGTGGATGGAGGCATCGACGCGCGCCGGCGCATCTGACGTCATCAGTGTTAGGTGACGGGCGTCATTGCAACGTCCGTGTGACTCAGGCCTAAGGCGAGATGTGGGTTACATGAAAGTACTCACTCTGCATCTTCTGATCATCATCCTCCTGAAACAGGAAAAAAAACGACGTGAGTAAAGTTTAATAAGCATCAAAAAAATAACTAAAACCCTTATACTTATTCCTAAAAGATTTTTTTGACTCGAAAGCATTAAATAAAAACTCATAATTTTAATTTTGAATCATAATCAATCATTTCCAGATGCTAACATATACTATAATATTTCTACCAAACCAAACGTGTTTTTTAAAAAGTAAAGTGTTAATATGTGTGTGATTTAAAAACCTTTCAGGGAAATTGTTGGATTTTTTAAACTGTGTAAATTCTAGTTCTCATGAATTTAATGAAGATATGCACACGATAATGAGTTCAATCAAGCACATTTGTAAAAGAAAAAATTAACAACAATGAACCGCTATGTATTTAAAAAGTATCAGTCAAAGCAAAGTTGTATGTTATAATAAACAAATTAGTTATTCAATTAAATATTTTCTATACGAAGAGCGTATTCATGAATTTCAAGAGGCATCAATAACCCGTATTAAATGAGAAAAAACATTTATCTTAGTGAAACAAAATTTGAAACAACTTTAACGCAATTATTCACTTCAAGAGATCGATACGTATCTGAGTTTTAAGACAATGTAAAAACTTGGGAATTTTTAGTGGTTCTGTATAAAAATAGTATGTGAACAATTATTCAGACCCCCATGAACTACTTTTAACTATACAAATCTTAGAGCATATTTTTCGTAGAGAAGTATGACAATTAAACGGAGTGATCTTCAATGTTTCTCTCAGATCTAAACTTTCTGATTTTCATAAAAATTATTTCACATTTCGCCTTGAAAGTTTTTAACTTCACTTTTCATCTTTCTAGGGCTCACCGCATAATATCTTTGTACCAACTTCAGGGAGTTCTCGAAAAACAAAAACGACTAATTCGGGTTAATCAAATAGAGTGTTTTCTAATATTAAGTAAATTCAAATACTGATTATATATATTTTCTCCGTTCGTCTGAAGCTCGTAATGTTACTGGGTCTTAACGAATTTTCACAGGGTATGGAAAAAACAGTCCATTCAAGTGAAAATTATTCAGTTTACGACCTTTCAAAAAAATTTGCCAAATACAACTCTCTCCTTTTAGCGTCCGTTTACAATGACCTGTATGACCATTATTTCATTTTATATGAAGCATTAATGCGTTAATGACTTCACCAGTTTTAGCATTATCGTTACTTCACATGCAATCTTCTTCCCTTCTTAATATGAAACTCGTTAGTGCCCTCTTAAATTTCATAACCTTTCTGACCACGCACTTAATAAGACTGGAAACGTTTATGATAATTTGAGTTGGTACGTCAGGAAATGGACTTCATAAAAAAAGGAATCATTTCTCTCGTATGTGTTGTAACTACGTATTCAATAACATTTGGTACTTGCATGTTTAGAAGTTTCCTCAGAAAGGAAGAGAATCAGATTTACAAATTAGATTGCACTCGTCTTGTTTGAAAAATTGTTTGCTCAGATTCAATCGCAATGTAATTCTCGAAAATTAAGATTGGTCGTGTTATTCATTGGTTAACTCGCATACAAAGAAATCCACAACACGTTGTCTAATATACTCAGTGTTTTTATTTCGCCAGAGTCCATTGTTCATGAATGTACTCCACCCTATAGACTGCTATGTGTGGCACAGAAGTTGTATTCAACTCTTTGCACCTTGAGAACTTTTAAGGCGTTATTTTAAGTTCCAGACACTTGTTTAATTTGTCGTTGATAATCCGGCTAGTGGATTTTCCTCTTTGACTTTTTTCCACATTTATTTCCCGCATCTCCGAGTATTTTAGACATTTGATTACGAATATAATTGATCGCTACACATTTGCGTAATGCAGCGATATATTGCGATTTATAAGCTAAGCGAAACAGGTTTCATGAATTCATGAATTGAAAAACTTAAAAAAAAACATTTAAAAAATTATGACCATTATTTTCGATTATTGATGTATATATTGAGCGTCATAGCATGGATTAAAACAGGCATAGGTCAACAAGTCGTTCACAGTCATTCACCCCACTACTATAACCCAGTAGGTGAAATATTTACACTAGAAGTGCTAGAACAGCACGCACTTTCTCGCCCTATTTTCACGCAAAATTATGCGAAAAGTACTCAAATCTTCGAAAAATTCTACAATGCCTAATTTCAAAATCTAACTTTAAGAAGAAGATTTCATTAAGGGACAAAATTTCTATCTTATTGTTGTAGGAAGACGCCGCAAATAAAGGAATGTTTGCAATTTGCGAAATATTTTGCAATTTGCGAAACAACACAAGTTTTAACGAAAAATGAGACCTTCACCATTCTCTTAAATGTCGTTCACACTATCTAACAACAAAATTTAATCAAAAACAATGGAGCCATTTTTTTGTTGAAAATTTTGAATATGTCCCAGGGTGCTTCATGTTAAGTACCTCCAAAATTAAAATATCGGACTCCAAATCAGGGAGTCGTGACCTCAATCAAATCGATTGAGGAGTATCAATTTTGGATAATATCTGCTGAAAGTAAAAAGGATCACCCGAGCCCCGCACTCAACGCAACACGATGCTGCTGCAGTCTCATAGTCTCCAATTTTTTTCAGAAAGAAGCGACGAAATTAATATTTTCACTAATTTGTTACGCAATGGGGGTATTGTATCTTTTTGAACTTAGGCTCCGTTTTGTTTCACGTCTATCTCCGTCCCGTCTCCGTCTATCCGTCACGTCTATATCCGTCTTATTTGTCGGATTGGAGTCTGGTTTGAATTGAATTGAAATGAATTGATGCCTTATTTTACATGGCGAGACTCGGGCCATCAGGCCCGCTCTTCCGTAGGACCACGCTAATTTCACCGCTCCTTTCACCCTCTAGCGAAGAAAGAAGTTATTTCTTGGGCGACGAAACAGGCGATTTGTATTTAGCTCAGCCCCATTCATTCATTCATTTTCTCGTTAGTTGTTCTATTACGATGCTAAACACACCGCGCGTTGTACGTTGCATTAAAGAGGTAGCAGTTTACGATACCCCGATCGGTAGCCCTCACCTATTTCGTGAACTACGCGTTAAATCAGCTGATCACTACACGATTACCCGACGCAGCGCAGTCAAAATAAGGCTGAGACGAGGTGATAAAAAAGAACAGTCCACTGTCTCTCTACTATCACCCAATGCGCAAAAAATATATTTAAAAAGTCGTTATGTTAAATACGTAAATTATTATCTGACTGCAACTCGACTAACTGTTGCAGTTCGCTCGAAGTGAGCTTGCCCAGGGCTACTCACCATGGTTGCTTTGAAACAAGATCACTTGACCATCACCCGGATCACGAAATACCCCTGACCGCAGCACTGATGAAGTGAGTGCGTCCGGGGGGCTACTCACAATGGCTGCAGGCGAGAAGTTGTAGAAGCAAAATCACTCTACCATCACCCGGATCGCGAAAAACACCTGTCCACAGCACGATAGCCCATCGCCGCACAGCCGATGTTAGCGCACCGGGGACAAGTCGCCGTGGCTGCCGGAGAGATGATGAACGAATAAAATCACTGAGCCGTCTCTCTATACCATCACCCAGTACGCGAAGTGCACCTAACCACATCACGGCCGACGTAAGAAGAACAGGAGACTAGTCGCCGTGGCTGACGGCGAGATGACGAATAAAATCACATAGTCGTTTTCCCTACCCAGTACGCGAAGTACACCTGACCACATCACGGCCGACGTTAGAAGAACAGGAGACTACTCGTCATGGCTGCCGGCGAGATGACGAACAAAATCACTCAGTCGTTTCTCTCCCTAGTACGCGCGAAGTACACCTGTCCACTGCACGATCGCCCGTCACCGCCGAAGTGAGCGCGCCGTGGGGGAGGGGGCGGGCTACTAGTTTTCGTAGTAATGATGGGTGGTAGTAGTAATGGCGATGTAATAGTGTGGGGGTTAGGGGCTGATTGGGGGGGGCGGGGTTATCTGGAATGGGGTGGTGGAGTGATATTGATTAGCTAGTGTGGTGGTTCGTGGCTGACAGTATGGTAGTGATACTTAATGGTTGGACTAGGAGATTCAGGGTTTTTAATTGAGGGTGGAAAGTGGTGATGTTCAAGGTGGTTTTATTTTTTGACACACTGGTGATGGTTTGGCGGCAGTTTTGATGATTGGAGGTGGTGTTGATTGTTGGGACGTCTGATTCATGTTCTAGCACGTGTTGATGATTGTTTGCACTTGCAGTTACACATAATGGTGTGATGACGATTGGTTTGTGTTGGTGATGATGGTAAAACTAAATTTTATTTCATGAGCAAACAAAAAACAAAATGAACGGTAGAATCGGAATATGTTTCTTTCTTTCCAGTTCTAGCACTAGACAATTAGTAGCAAATTCTATAATCTGGGAGATACATATTTATTGCATGTACATATATTTTTAAATCATATTTTTGCAAGCTTACACGGGGATATAATTAGTCGAATTTCTTTTTCCTCTATCATTAGTTTGCCTTTCGTGTAACTATCCGTAGACTGAGTATAACACATGTGATATTACTGGGTTTTAGGGGAAGTGAAATAATAGGTTGCACATGGGCAGTCGGTAATGCCTTAAATGATAAATGGATAACCTGAAATGGTGTCTTCAATATATTTTGGAAATTATTTATAAAATCATGACAGTTTCAGAAAATAGCCATCCTAAAGGTTGATTTCTGTCCTTGCTAGTCTGTGCCTCTTTAAACTCTGAAGTGCGTGTTCAACGGTGTGATTGTATTGATTGTGACGGAATAACCCTGAAGCAGTACTATCGGAAAGGACACATGATTGGTCATACGGACTATTAATTTATCATTGAGTGTACGTATTCCTACGTAAATTAATACAATGTACTGCTCAAATCCTTTAATGCACTGTGGTTAAGATATCTAAAAATCCAACTGGAGAAATAATGTTAATGATAACCTGAGATGTACTAGCGTTAAGACAAATGTATTAATAAATAAGTTAATAATAATAATAATAGTATAATAATAATAATAATAATAATAGATAATAATAATAATAATAATGGTCTTTTTTTCTCGAATTAATATCAAGAACTATCTTGACAATCGTGTCAGCCAGCCTTCTGCGGGATTGATAATTCCAAGAATTAGAATCTTTCTATATTCAGATTGAAGTATAAGACGCTAAACATTAATTGCTTTCAAAGAAATACTTATTTTAAAACCTTGATAAAAAATGTAGGAAGTATCGCATCATTTCATAACGAAACCATTGAATATTTGCGATGTTTTCTCATTTCGGACTTTGTAGAATTGTGAGAAGACCGAATTCCAACATTAATAATCAATCACTCCAAGTTCTTTTAATTAAAGTTTACAAGAAATTTGTTTGTTCATCTGAAACGACTGCTGTGGTCTCAGGTTAACTCTGACATTAGTACTTTCCTAGATAGGCATTTTGGATTGTAACCCTAATTTATAGTTCGTATTTTACACGTTCAACTACGAAACGCAATCGCAAACACAACTGGACCTCGTGATACGAGCGAAGTTGTTGCTGGGTGGTGGGCCACCGCCCCGCAGCCGCGCGTTGTGTTCGAAAGCTGCAGCAGGTCGCTGGTGGGGAAATCGGCGGGGGCGGCGGCGTTAGCGCAGTCATGAGTCGGCGAAAACGGAGCCGGGTACGCGGCGAGGAGGGGGTTGGGGAGGGGAGGGGGAGGGGGGGGGAAGGCGTCGGCATCGGCGGCGTGCGGCGGGGCGCCAACCTCCCACCCCCACCGCGGCCCCGTTCCTTCGGCCCACGCCCACCGCCCGTCCGCTGGGTATTAAAAGCTGGGCGCGTGGTCGAAGGCCCCTCCGTGCAGAAAGTCTTCGCCGCAGACGCGACTGCAGACGCCACTTCTTCGTCGCCACCGCCACCGCTCACCAACACTCGCCGGCAGCCATGGTGA